AAATTCTTGAGGTCTCAATCCAATCTAGCATCTGTGGGATGTGCTGGAAAACCAGTCTATGAAGGTCCCACCTTGCAACTTACAGGACTTAAAGGATCTGCTACTGACGGCTTAGTGCCAAATACAACAGCATACACTAGAGGTCTAGTGTAGTCTATACCTTGAAGGGTCAGGGCTGTTTTGGCGGCAAAAAGGGGTACCTGTTCAATGTTAGGCAGGCGGTCATAATGTTATGGCTGATCAGTGTCGTGTCCTGTGACAGAAAAACAAACATTTCCAAGCAGGGAAATCCATTTTTAGGCACTGTATAATCAATTTAGAATCCTACACGTTTTTATCATTATAAATGAGCTGGATTACTGAAAACTATATGTGCTCCCCCAATTTCTGAATGCATGCATTGAGAAGGGCTGTAAATGAACTAGAATTTAGGAGTTTAAAAAATGAAATTTCCAGGGTTGTTCTGTATCTTTCCTGCACAACTTAGCCCGTGTCCTGGCTGGAACATGTTAATGCTTGTTGTCGGGTTGTTTCTACATATACTTGTGCCTAGTCAGTAACTCAATAGGTAGTGGATAAAAATAAGCTTGGCAGCCCCAGAGTTTGCATTTAGAAAAAAACACATCAGTAATGGCAGCCCCCATATTAATAGTCTAACAGTTTCCTTTTCAACTTTCACTGCCACAGCTAAGTACGAGGTTAACAAGCCTGTGGTTTGTGTATTGTAGATATAATCTAAGCAGATATAAAGCCACCCAGTCACATGATGGCAAAGTAGTACCTGGTCTTTACCCCAAGCCCCCTTCCCCCCAATCATTATGGATAGTAGGGATGCACCGATACCACTTTTTTAAGGCACGAGTACCGATACTTTTTTCCCAAGTACTCGCCGATACCAATTACCGATACTTTTTCTTAAAGGGACAGGTCACATTTTTTCTAAAGCAATACAAAACCATGATTTTAGGTCAGTTTCTTAATATTATGAAGAACATGAACACTCTGTAGTGTGGCACAGCTATATCCAATTCTGCATACCTGGCTTTATATTATAAGAACTTTATAATATAAAGCCAGGTATGCAGAATTGGATACTGCTGTGCCACACTATACAATAATACACTGTTCTGGAGTCTGGACATGTGATCTATTTTCCCCACTAGGGGGATACAAGCCTTAGTTAGCAATGGCATGATAAACATTAATTTCATTATTCAATGTCTTTTTTTTAAATATATTTATAACATTAATAATATTTTTTTTAAAAATTGAATAATGAAATTAATATTTATCATGCCATTGCTAACCAAGGCTTGTATCCCCCTAGTGGTCAAAATAGATGAGAACATGTCCAGACTGCAGACCAGAACAGTGTGGCACAGCTACAGCCAATTCTGTATAACTGGCTTTATATTATTATTACATTTTCTTATAATATAAAGCCAGGTATGCAGAATTGG